CTTTTTTCTTTTTGCTTATGTGGTGCTGAGGAATCAAACTCAGGGCCTCATGCATGCAAGGCAAGCGCTCTACCACTGAGCCACCTTCCCAGCCCCCCTGATTTACGCTTTGACTTTTGTGTGTTCCATATAGGTGATTGGTCTTTTGGATGTCTTCACACCTGCAAGGTCTCTGGAGGAATTCAACGATGTGTGAGTAATCTCCCGTATTTGCTTCTTTAGCTGGAGGATGATTAGCAGCCTACTTCTGTTCATAACTGTTCAGGCCTTAGAAGGTTCTTTATTCCTATTATACAGCTCTAAGGGGAAAAAGGGGGTGGGATGAATTGGGATGGGTGAGTAGACCACACGTGGTATGGTTTAGTATTCCATCACGGCAGGCACATGGTGCCTCATTCAGGGAGTCAGATGTTGAGTCTTTACAAAAATTCCATGGAATTGGGTGCTAGTAGCTCACACCTGTAATCCTAACTACTTAGGAAGCTGAGATCTGAGGATCCTGGTTCAAAGCCAACCCAGGAAGGCAAGTCTATGAGACTCCAGTTAACCACCAAAAAACTGGCACTGTGACTCAAAGTGGTACAGTGTTAATCTTGAGCAAAAAGAGCTCAGGGACAGTGCTCAGGCCCCGAGTTCAAGCCCCACTACTGACAGGAAAAAAGAAATTCCAGGGACAAGAGAGTACTATCATAGTACTATCCTTTTAAGGTTTGAAAAATGTATTAGAGCCACCACATTCCCATTAGGAGCTCTGACCTGGGTTTTCAAGGTGGCTCAGAACACTGCCCACTTGTGGGATTTCCTTCCTCCAGCCTTCTTGTGATACATTCTCCCTTCTCAGTTGAAATACTTTTGACTCTGTTCCTTACCCTGCTGTGTTCTTAGTAGATTTTACCATCATATTTGTGGCTACCTTCTGTGTTAGAGCAGTTTGTTGTCTTCTCATCTCAACCATTGGTACTTAGAACAGTCACAGGCATGTAAATGTTGCTTATTGAGTAGGTCAATGTAAGAATCACCCTAGGCAGGGCAGGTACAGAGTTCTAAAGGGCCTTGTAGCCCTAGGGGCCACCTACCCCAGACATGTATCTTCAGAGAAGGCTGTGCAAAAATTTGTCCACTGAGCTTGAAGTAAGTACTGAACAGGTTCAACCAGTAGTCAACAGCTGAGAGCAGAGGTGATGGACCTTGGATAAGAGGTGTACATGGAGAAAGATGAAGCTGGATGGGGGAGGAGCTGGGTTATTTGGGGCTTTATAAGCTAAGCCTTAGTAAAGAGGTGGTCAGAGAAAAGAGATCAAAGCATCCAGAACACTGAGGGAGGGACTGGGAAAGGGATGAAAGGCTTTGCTTTATATGGTAGGACTTAGCTACAACTCTCTCCCTGCTTCCTCTCCCCTCACCCACTCCTTACTATAATGTTCAGGAAGATTGAATTCTAGTAGAGGCAGTTTCCTCTGGATCCTTACCAACACACCAGGAAATGTTTTGAATTAGCATACCAAGCCTGAAACAAACTTGCACCTTTTCCAGGAACTAAAATGTAGACATAATCCTCACGATTAATATCTGATCTCAGTTTTCCTTTGCTTTCAATTCTTGACATTACAAGCAGATTGTTTGTTTAAAAACATAGTCTTATGCATGTGAGTGAGACTAATCATTAACTTGACTTTATCAATGGCCTTGATGGCTTACAAAGGTTTGCATATCAGATTTCTCATTTGACACTGAAGTCTTGTGAAGTAGGTATCATTATGTCTAATTTTCAGATAAGGAAACAGGTTGGAAGAGACAAGCCTCATTACATACTAATACATATAAAATTGCATCCATCCCAGGTCTTTTGGCTCTGCATCTATTTCCCACCACATTTTTCTTGAGTCAAGGCTATCATTTGAAAGTCTGCTAACCCTTGTTATTGAGTAAATGCGGTGTGAGATTCTGTGAGATGCCAGAGGTGAAGAGTATATGTGTCTTCTAGTTGCTTCTGGTCTCATTAAAAAGATGAGACACAAATGCTTGCTTATGATAGCTGGGGGGCAGGACATCTGTGGCTCTTTGGTATCCTCCTTACTCAGGAGGCTGAGATCTGAGCCTCAAGGTTTGAAGCCAACCTACTGGAAAAATAAAGAAGCTTTCAGGCCAAGCTTAGAGTTCAAGTTCTTTGTGAAGTTTTTCCTAATTTGCTCCTTCCTTGGTCCCTGTAGGGACCATCACCTGTGTGCATTCCCCAACTCCGATGGCCCCATTGTAGCTCTGTTATGTACACCCTCCTCTCATCTAAATGGCACCTCCCTTTTCCTCATTACATCTTTAGCACTGAACACCAAATACTTGATTGAGGGAATGAATGGCCATGTGCTGTCCCCGTGTAAGTGGCTGGTGACTTAGTGTCTGATGGCCTGCACTGTGTCCGCTTCTAACTGGCTTGCAGACTGTGATAGAGCAGTATCTGGTTCAATTAATGCTGGTAACAGAGATTGCAAGCATCTTTTAGCAATCTTCACTTCAAATGAGAATAGTTTGTTGTGAAATAAGCTTATTAGAGCCTGCTTGGTGACAGGAGTGGGTCTCCTACCCCAATGTTAGAACAATCTGGTCTTACCAGATAAGATCTTGGGCATGCACCTTGTCAATAAAATACATTGCCACCTTGTCCTGAGTCAGTTCATCCTGTAGTAGTTGAGTGTTATTATCTGCCAGAAAATTGCTCTAGGTACTACACAGGGTAAGACATAGCTCCATCCTCCATGCACAATGTACAGGGAGATAATAATTAACGTTAAACAAGGAAATGATATAGTATGTTGGCAATCAGTGCTATAGCAAAACAGCAAAGGGTACAACAGAGAAAGGAAATTAAGAGTATAAAGGCCAGCAGGGAGATGCAATATTAAATGCAGTATTAAGATAGGTAAAAGCCTTAAAGCATGCAGCAGAGGTTGCATATTGTATTGGAACTAGCAAATAAACAGGCTAGTTGTGGAGCTGAGTGAGAGCAGGGGAGAAAAGTAGATGGTGAAGTAACAGAAAAAATTGGGGTAGAGTCCTGGATTAACATAATACAGGGCTTTAAAGGACGTTGAAAGGATTTTTTAAAAAAATGTAAGTCTAAGTGAGATGGGGTCGGGGTGGGGGGTTAGGAAAATTAGTGACTGATCTGATTTTTACAGGGTGTTTGTTGGTTCTAGGGCTTGAAATCAGGGCCTGGGCACTGTCCCTGAGATTTTTCATTTAAAAAGGCTGTGCTCTACTACTTGTGCCACAGCTCTCCTTCTACTTTGGTGGTTAATTGGAGATCAGAGTCTCACGGACTTTCTTGCCTGGGCTGGCTTTGAATCTCAATCCTCATATCTCAGCTTCCTGAGTAGCTAGAATTACAGGCGTGAGCCACCAGAACTCCACTTTTTTTTTGTAGTCAAGATTTTTTATTACAAAGGAAAGAGTTATGAAGAAAACCAGCTAGTTTTTACATAGAATGAGCATAATATTTCTACCAAGATAAAAAAAAAACACATAAAACCCAACACCTTCCGAACCTAGTCACAAGCATCAGTGAAGAACCCCACTTTGATTTTCACTTTTCAAAAGAAGTGCCCTGGCTGGGCACTGGTGAGCAAAAGAAGCACAGGGACAGTGCCTACTCCCTGAGTTCAAGCTCTAGGACTGCTACCAAACAAAATAGAGCTCTTGGGTAGAGTCACCACTGACTTCATAAAAATGGGGTTCTCTAGGACTAGGAATGTGGCTTAGTGGTAGAGTGCTTGCCTAGTATATATGAGGCCCTGGGTTCAATTCCTCAGTACCACATAAAATTAATTAAAAAAAAAAAAACTGGTTCTCAAAAGAATCAAATTTTTTGCTGTTGGTGGTGGTGGTCATGAGGCTTGAACTCTGGGCCTGAGCACTGTCCCTGAGCTCTTCCGTTCAAGGCTAGTGCTCTAGCACTTGAGCCACAGTGCCACTTCCAGTTTTCTGGTGGAGATGAGTCTCACAGACTTTCCTGCCCTGGCTGGCTTTGAACCATGATCCTCACCTCTCAGCCTCCTGAGTAGCTAGGATTATAGGTGTGGGCCACCAGCACTTGGTCTTCAAATTTACTCTTTAAAATTACCTTTAGAATTTTCCCTTGCCTTAAGGCAATGTAGACATATACATTTTTAAATTAGGGAATACTAAAATATAACCTTAAAGTTAGAGCTAGGCTGGGTGTTGATGTTCTTCACACAGTGCAGCTCTACAGGGAAATCGTGATAGGAGGAAAAAAGTTCTCACTTCGTCCTGGAGGAAGAAGCACCTATGTTAACATTAAGAGTCAGCCTGTGTAATATTGGTCTGGTCTTTATGTTCCCATACTGGGTAATATAGTAATGAATAGGTTGAGGCATTATGAAAGTCTAGGGTGTCTGGGGGGGTGAACCTGTTGGACTTGAATGTAATCATTCCTCATCTTCCCGTGAAAGGAAGGATTAATAAGCAGTCCCACACCCATGGAGAGTTCTTTGGTGCCTCCTGCTTCCTTCAAGGCAGACGCAGGAACATTGTCAATGAACAATATGCTTTTATTAGTCACTTGAGGAGAAAAGGAAAATGGTAGCTCAAAAATCTACCTATAACTCCTGTTTTAGAACCTATAGCACGGCAGGTTTACGAGGGAACTAAAAATATAATGATGGACTTAAACATTTAACATACTTTATTATGGCTATAAAATAATTGTTTATACTTATGTTTATTTCTCTTACAAGAAACTTTTTGGCTGGGAAGTTGGCTCAGTGGTAGAGTGCATGCTTTGCGTGCATAAGGACCTGGATTTGATTCCTCAGCATCACAGAAGCAGGAAAAAAAAGCCGGAAATGGTGCTGTGGCTCAAGTGGTAGGGCACTAGCCTTGAGCTGAAGAGCTGAGGGACAGCGTCCTGGCCCAGAGTTCAGGCCCCATAACCAACAACAACAACAAAAAAAAAAAAGGAATTTTTTTGGGGGGGTGAGGGGAATCAGGTCATCAGGTCTAGGGCTTAAACTCAGGGCCTAGGCACTGTCCTGGGGGCCTTATTTTGTTCAAGGCTAGTATTCTACCACCCTAGCCCCAGCCTTTTCTGAGTGTTTTCTTAGAGATAAGAGTCTCACAGCTGGACGCAGGTGGCTCATAGCTGTAATCCTAGCTACTCAGGAGGCTGAGATCTGAGAATGGTAGTTCAAAGCCAGCTCGGGCAGGAAAGTCTGTGAGACTCTTATTTCCAATAAAACCTAGAAAACTGGAAGTGGCACTGTAGCTCAAAGTGGTAGAGTGCTTGCCTTGAGCTGAAGAGCACAGGGACAGCCCTCAAGCCTAGAGTTCAAGCCCCACAACCGACCAAAAAAAAGGAAGAGTCTCACAGACTTTCCTGTCCCAGCTGGTTTTGAACTGGGATCCTCAGATTTCAAACTCCTGAGTAGCTAGGATTACAGGCATGAATCACCAGCACCAGCTTTAAAAAAAAAATAGTACTAGGGCTGGGAAGGTGGCTCAGTGGTAGAGTGCTTGCCTCACATGCATGAGGCTCTGGGTTCAATTCCTCAGCACCACATTAGCAGAAAAAGCTGGAAGTGGCAGTGTGGCTCAAGTGGTAGAGTGCTAGCCTTGAGCTGAGGAGCTGAGGGACAGCGCCCAGGCCCAGAGTTCAAGCCCCATGACAGACAAAAATAAATAAATAAATAAATAATCTAAATAAATAAATAGTACTAGAGTTTGAACTCAGAGCCTTGTGCTTGTTAGGCAGGTACTCTATCACTTGATTCACTCTGCTATCCCCTTTTTACATTGGTTACTATTAAGATAAGATCTTGCTTTATGCCTGGTTCAGTCTGGATGACAAGCCTCATATTTGTGCTTCCCCGTGTAGCAGGGATGACAGTCACATACCACCATGTCATTGGTTGAGATGGCAACTTGCAAACATTTTTTGCACGAGCTGTCCTCAAACTTCGAGGCCAAATCTCTTGCCTTCCAAGTAGCTAGGATTACAGGCTTGAGCCACTGCTTCAAGCCTTCACTGAAAACCTTTGAAAATTTTATGAAGACAAGAACTTTTTAAGGGCTGGGAAGGTGGCACAGTGGTAGAGTGCTTGCCTTGCATGCATGAGGCTCTGGGTTCGATTCCTCAGCACCACATAAGCAAAAAAAGAAAAAACCGGAAGTGACGCTGTGGCTCAGGTGGTAGAGCACTAGCCTTGAGCTGAAGAGCTGAGGGACAGTGCCCAGGCCCAGAGTACAGGCCCCACGACCGGACCAAAACAAAAACAAAAAACAAAAAACTTTTTAAACATCTGTATCACTGTGTAACTTTTCATTCACTTCTAGGTATCTGGTGACCCACCTCATGGGGGCTGATCTGAACAATATTGTAAAATGTCAGAAACTCACGGATGACCATGTTCAGTTCCTCATCTACCAGATTCTCCGAGGTCTAAAGGTATAGACAGCAATAATGTTGAGAAACCAATTCTCTTTTTGCTTTCTCTTCCTTCTATCTAGGCATTAGAACAAAGAAGCAAAATTCAAACACGGAATCACAAGGAAAGAACACAGTGTAACAAACAGTGGTCTGTCAGAAACTACAACTATCTTAACATGGCCAACCTTGCTTCTTTGTGTTTCCCAAGTGACATCATTTCATTCTAACCATATATATGATGTATAAATATCTAGGAGCTAAGGGTTTTTACTTACCATATTAAAAACTAGTAACTTTGTAATATAATGATGTATCTGGTCAGTGTAATGCTGAAGTGTTAACAAACTCAAGAAGGCTATTTTAATTGTAGCAGAAGAAGATAAATTGTGTCCTAAAAATCAAGCCATCTTTAATATCTAACAGCTTTGAGTCTTTTTCGAGGTTCAGACAGTCAAGCAATCCTTGAAAGCTCAAGTAGGCAGAGTTGAAGGCTGTGGAAATCATGACTGTGAATGGACACCGTATTGCTAATTGTAACTGTCTTAGCTCCTACTGTGAATAGTTGTAGGTCCTTATTGATTCATGAAAATGTGCTATAAATTTGTTCTAGAATATTTATAGTTGAAAGTTGAAAAGAACTTACTTGATGGACTTCTTTCTCTTTCGCAGTATATACATTCAGCTGACATAATTCACAGGGTATGTATTATGACTTCAGTTATTATTTTGGGAATATGAGGCGGGACTAGAAGAATGGCACCCAGGGCTGACAGTAGCTCACTGCCCAGCATGCATGAGACTGTGAATGAGTTCAATTCCTAGTACCACCACCAAAGAAAACAGAATAACTTTCAGCCAACATACTTTTAGCCATTGGAATGTTGACCAGTTGCAGCTCTGCTCTTTGTTGAGATTGACGGAAGAAAGTTACAATTTCTTTAAAATTTTATGCCTAGTTAAGGCTAAGTAAGTTTGCCTCTAGGCTGAAGATGGTCTGATGATGTGTGGATAAATAAGGTCTTCCTTTGATATGTGAATCCTCACTATTACCTCTAGGGAGAGGATTGTCATTGAGGATAAAGTCCAGCCTGTCCTCTCTGTACTTGCTTCCTAGGACCTAAAACCCAGTAATCTTGCTGTGAATGAGGACTGTGAGCTAAAGGTAAGACCAAGAGGGAGACAGTGGCTGTGGTTTGCTTTGCCTACAGATGATTCCTGTGACTAATCAGGCCAACTTTGATTTGTCTGAAAATTCATCCTGAGCAATAGCAAATTTCAAATGTGTTTTTATTTTTTTAATTTTCACTTGTTCATGAAATTTTCTTTAAGTAGTTGTACAGAGGAATTTTGATTCAACATCTTAGTTTATGAACACAAAGCATCTTGATCAAGGCACACTTCAGATTTAAGCCATAAACTTTTAGGTGAAACTGTGGAATTTAAACCATAGACTGAGTAAGCTGCTTCAGTGACATTGAAAGTGGCATTGAGTGGTTTTTGGTTTTATTTTGAGTAAAGTTAAATTTGAGATGTAATATAATAAAGGAAAATTGTAGTCTGGATGTCAAGCATTCCTGAAGCAATAATTACTAGATTATTTAGGTTAAATTATTTAGGAAAAATGGCCAAAAACCACTCACTGAAATAATTGAAATAAGAGATAAGTAAGCCGGGGCGCTGGTGGCTCACACCTGTAATCCTAGCTACTCAGGAGGCTGAGATCTGAGGATCTCAGTTCAAAACCAGCCCAGGCAGGAAAGTCCATGAGACTCTTATCTCCATTAACTATCAGAAAACCAGAATTGGCACTGTGGCTGAAGTGGTAGAGTGCTCACCTTGAGCTAAAAAGCTTAGGGACAGTGCCTAGGCCCAAAGTTAAAGACCTACACACACAAAAAAAGATAAGTAAACTATATGTAGAAGAATAGAGTTCTAGAGCTGTTTTGTCTATTGCTGCTTTTTTAACCAACATTTTTTGTTTATCTTTTTGAGATACGGTCTTACTGTATAGTCCTAATTCAGGCTGGTCCACAACTTAAGATCATCCTGTCTCAGCGTTGCAGGGATTACATGCCTGTGCCACCTTAACTTTTTTAAAACAAATAACATACAGTAAAATGTGCTATTTTAAGTGTACCTTTGACAAGTTTATATATCTTCCTAACCATCACAATTATAATGAAGATGGTTTTTAGCTAGGGATGTAGCTCAGTGGCTGTGTACTTGCCTAGCATGCATAGGTCCCTGGGTTTGATTCCCAGCAGTGCAAAATAAACACACACTTGGGCTGGGAAGGTGGCTCAGTGGTAGAGTGCTTGCCTTGCATACATGAGGCCCTGGGTTCGATTCCCTAGCACCACGTAAGCAAAAAGAAAAAAAGCTGGAAGTGGCGCTGTGGCTCAAGTGGTAGAGTGTTAGCCTTGAGCTGAAGAGCTGAGGGCTCAGAGTTCAGGCCTCATGACCGGACTCCAAAAAAAAATTAAAATAAAATAAATATGCACACATACACACACATACATTCTTTTTTTGTTTTGCCAGTCCTGGGGCTTTAACTCAGGGTCTGGGAGTTGTCTCTGAAACTCTTTGTGCTCAAGGCTAGAGCTCTACCACTTGAACCATAGCACCACTTCTGGCTTTTTATGGGTAGTTTATTGGCAATAAGAGTCTCGTGGACTTTTCTGCCCAGGCTGGCTTCAAACCACAGCCCTCATCTCTCAGCCTTTTGAGTAGGATTACAGGTATGAGCCACCAGTGCCTGGCCACATATTTCTTATTTAAGAGCCAGGTATCATGGTACATGTCTGTAATAACCCAGAACTCAGAAGATGGAGTCAGAAGGATCTCCAGGTTAAACCCAGCCTTTGTTACATGGTGACGCCCCATTTTTAAAAAAGTTTTCCTCCTACAAATTTTTTATCTCTGTATCCTCAACCCTGGTTGCAAATAACCACATATCATTTTTTTAAACCCTATAGATTAATCTTTCCAAAAACTTATACAAATGAATCATATAGTTTTATGTATCTGGCTTTTGTTTAGAATTTTTTAAAGCTATATTATGTGTTTTAGGAGTCTTTTCTCTTTTGTTGCTGAGTAGTATTCCATTTGATAGACATGCCAGAATTTGTTGCCCGTTTACCTGTTAGGGAAATTTGCTTTATTTCTGGTTTGGGGCTCTGTAAAGCCATTAAGGACAAACTTTATGTTTTTATTGATCCAGTAAATACCAAGGAAGGATACTTTTGTTTTGCTTATAATTTTCTAAAGTTCTTAGAATGTGTTTACCATTCAATCTAAGTTTGGACCCCCAAAATCTGTTGATGAAAATAATAGCCTCCCCCCTCTGTACAGTATTTTCACAATAATAAAAATAAATAAATAAATAGAAAACAATAGCCTCTTTTGTGTGTGTGTGTGTTGGTGGGGGGGCAGGGAGGGCTGAACTCTGGGCCTGGGCACTGTCCCTTAGCTCTTCAGCTCAAGGCTAGCACCCTACTACCTGAGCCACAGTGCCATTTCCAGCCTTTTCTGCTAATGTGGTGCTGAGGAATCCAACCCCGGGCCTCATGTACGTGAGGCAAGCACACAACCGCTGAACCAACTTCCCAGCCCAATAGCTTCTTTTTAAATAAAGCAATAGAGACCTTTCCTGCCTACCCACTCTATGAATCTTAGCATTTGCTTATTCTAGTGCCTGATTGTCTTCTTAGATTCTTGATTTTGGACTGGCTCGACATACTGATGATGAAATGACAGGTTACGTGGCCACCAGGTGGTACAGGGCTCCCGAGATCATGCTGAACTGGATGCATTACAACCAGACAGGTATTGCTTGTTCTGCTTACCCAGGGCTTTGTGGTTTGGATTTCCCGGCTGCTGATTGGTTCTCAGAGATGGCAGTGGAGGAAGCATTTTCCCATAGTGTTCTTTTCAATAACTATCAATAGAAACTGTTTCATTTGCTCAGATGCTGAAACAGGGCTTTTTTTTTTCTTAATAGCTTTCCAACTGTCATTTAGCAGTTATGTTTTTATTTGAGTTTTCAACAAAACTTTGAGTGCTTCTGAAGCCAGTAGCCCATCAGTTTTATGTAGGAGAATGCACTATTCTATAAATAAGAAATTTTTACCTTGTTATGACTTTGACACCTTTTATGGGGTGTCAAATATTGAGTGTCTTAAGTTTATTTAGTTCTATAGAAATGAGATGTGATTATTGTTTAACTTCAGTTGTCTTATGTAATGATTGTCTTGAATATTCCTTCTTTTTTTTTTTGGTACCAGTACTGGAGCTTGAACTCAGAGCCTCAAGCTCTTGGTTTTCACTCAATGCTGGTATACTACCACTTGAGCCACACCTCCACTTCTGGCTATTTTACTGCTTTATTGGAGATAAGAGTTCCTTGGATTTGTCTACCAGACAAATCCAGATCTGAGATTCTCAGATTTCAGCCTACTGACTAGCTAGTATTACAGGTATGAGCCTCTAGCACCCATCTTAGCTTGAATATATTTCACCTTCAGTGATGGTCCCACTGTGACCAAGTATAATAACAGTAACCATGTATGTGCTTTTATTTCTCTTTAATTTTGCCAGTGGATATTTGGTCAGTGGGATGCATAATGGCCGAGCTGTTGACTGGAAGAACATTGTTTCCTGGTACAGACCGTATCCTTTATAAAGTTTGGAATTCTTGTTTCTTCTGTGTATTCTGGTGTCCATGGATTTGTATTGGCTTTACTTGTCTGTAGAGAAGCTCTCAATTTTTTGCTTTCATAATCTAGATATTTTTTATGAGGTCCTCCCCTCCTGCTGGGTTGTGTGCCTTGCTAAAAAAGAGACTTCTATTTATTTTTTGCAAGCTGGAAAACCAAGCTTAAAAACCCTCTGTGTGTGTGTGTGTGTGTGTGTGTGTGTGTGTGTGCATGAGGTTGCCAGTGTGTGTGTGTGTGTGTGTGTGTGTGTGTTCATGTTCATGAGGTTGCCAGTACTAGACACTGCTCCTTAGCTTTTTCACTCAAGGCTTGACACCCTGCCACTTGAGCAACAACTCCACTTCCAGCTTTTTGCTATTTAACTGGAGATGAGTCTCAGATTTTCCTGCCTGATTGGCTTCAGACTGTGACTCTCAGATCTCAGCTTCCTAAGTAGCTAGGATTGTATCCATAAGCCACTGGCACATGGCTAAAAAACAAGACAAAACAAAACAAAAACCCTTCTGGGTTTTTTTTTTTGGGGGGGGGGACAATAAGGTTCTTATTGGAGTAATCTTCCTGTAGCAGTTCTGACACCCAAGTGTCTAGATGTCCTAGACCCCAGTGACAGGTTTAGTGGATTTATGCAATCCGTAGTGAGCAGACACCCATCTATAAATCAAGGGTATCTTGTGGTTGAGTTTGGTTTATGTACTAAAAAGGTTGTGTTGTGTCCCTGCAGTGACAGGCCTGCTGTCTTGTTGAGTTTGCTTTGTAACAACAAGTAGTAAAAGCAAGAAGGTCACCATGTCATGTGCGTGCGTGCGTGCGTGCGTGCGTGCGTGCGTGCGTGTGTGTGTGTGTGTGTGTGTGTGTTTGTGTGTGTGTCTCCCAGCACAACTCTGTCCTGGGGTAGAGCCAGTCCCAGTGTAGTCCCAGACTTGTTCTCTAGGTCATGGTCTAGCTTAGCCCTGTACTCCCTGCTGTATGATTAGGAAATGTCAAATGTCCTCAAATGTGGCTTTTCACTCTCTCATCTGCTCCACTTATAGAAGGTGGGTATTTATGTGAGAGCCTTTACATGTGTGTCTACAGTTGGCTTGGGGGACATCTGTAAAATTCAGCTGACTGGTCTGCAAATGGTTTTGTTTGGGCCACATTTCCCTCTCTACAATCATGCTTAGATATCTTAAGTGCTGGTTGTAGCCCCATACCCAAATAAACTCAGGAATTGAATTGATCAGCCAGAATGTCAGTTTACTGTGATGTCATGGTATCTATCCATGTTTTCTATTCTGAACATCTCCTAGCTAGAGATCATGGACTTCCCTCAGAAACTGAAACACCTGCTCCTTAGGGAAAGCTAAGGTGTCCCTGGACATTATGGGATCCATGTAGAGTTCAGCCATTCTACCCCCCCCCATATTCACTCACTTTTTTACTAACCCTTACTGCTGTATTTTAAGTTTGTTTAATGCACAAAATTTCTCCCTTGTCCTTTGTTTTATTTGCCTTATCACTTTCCCTTAGCAGTTGGCTGCACATCTACATTACAGTCTAAGTTGAAAGGATTAGGGGAAATTTGTAGCTCCCCTTGTTTTGCCCTCTGGAGCAGACATTTTGCTGAGGCTGTCCTCTGCCCCTTCTTCTTGCTGTATCTGGAGCTCTCATTTGGACAGTCATAGACACGCATGCCTGCATGGGCAGTGGTAGAGAGACAGATAACACTGCATACTGCAATCATACTTACTGGGTTTAGATCTTTGCTCCTTCCAGCTGCAGGTCTTTAAGCAAGTTTAAAAACAAACATTTATGTGTATGTGGTTTTTGTTTTTTGTTGCCAGTTCTGGGGTTTGAACTCAGGGCCTGGACACTGTCTCTGAACTCTTTTGTTCAAGTCTAGTACTTTACCACTTGAGCCACAGCTTCATTTCTGACTTTTTGGTGGTTAATTGATGATAAGAGGGTTACAGACTTTCCTGCCTGGGCTGACTTTAAACTGTGATACTTAGATCTCAGCCTCCTAAATAGCTAAGATTACAGGTGTGAGCCACTGGCGTCTGGCCATTAGTAAGTTTCTAATTCCTTAGAGGGAATTATGTTCATGATATCACACAGTCACCACCTCTGCCTATTCTTTTTTTTGGGGGTGGAGGGGAAGGGTTGTCCGGTCGTGGGGCCTGAACTCTAGGCCTGGGTGCTGTCCCTCAGCTCTTCAGCTCAAGGCTAGCACTCTACCACTTGAGCCACAGCACCACTTCTGGCTTTTTTTTTCTGCTTATGTGGTGCTGAGGATTCGAACCCAGGGCCTCATGCATGCAAGGCAAGCACTCTACCACTGAGCCACCTTCCCAGCCCATCTGCCTATTATGATTACAGAACTCTTCTGGTCTAATAATAGTGTTCATAAGAGTAGTTTTGTAAAGAATTCAGCCCTTGTCTGTAGGACTGACTAGGTGTATCAGATAGAGGGAAGATAGAGAATGTCTTCTCTGGTGTACTGCTAACTTATTTCAGATGCCATCAATTTGAAATGAGTCAGAAACACATGATTTCCCAGGCTCACTGCAACCTAAGGAAGCAAGGAAATGAGTCTCAGAACCCTATTGCATCAACTGCAGCTCTGTCTCCCAGAGATCACAGTCTTGCTTTGTTGTCCTGCTTTCCTGTGTAATCAAGTAAATTAAGTGAATTTCCTACATGTGTCAAAGCATGCCCTGCTCTCATTTGCATTGAACTAGCGCTCTTACTACTAGTGCTCTTACTTGACTGGAGGACTGGGGGACCATTGTGCTACAACCCACTTGCCTTCCACTGATAGCCTGCTCAGTGGATGAAATTAGCACCTACAGTTACTCATTTCTTCTTCCCATCTCTTCCAAACTTGTTGTGAAACAGTTCAGACACGCTTCAGAACAAAGAGTAATAAATGACCACCTGGGTCCACTCTACCCAGATGAAGTGATAAAAAGGTGGGTAGTTGAACCAAGGCTTCTGGAGCGCCCCCTGTGGTCATATTTCATGGCTTTCAGTTGTTGGTTTCAAATGCTCTTCTCATTTTCTTCTCTTCTTCCTCCTCCTTGCCCCCCTACAATGCTGGGGTGGAATTCAAGGCCTCGTGACTGCGTGTAAGCACTCTATCACTGAAACAGAATTACCTCTCCAGTCCTCTTCCTCATGTTTACAAAGTGATTTCACTCTACACACTAAAAGCCTTAATAAATGTTGGTAACTTTAGAATGTATATTTCCAGAAAAGGCTAAAGTTCTTGGGTTTATTGACAAACCTAAGGTGCCTTACTAGTTGTGTGTGTGTGTGTGTGTGCGTGTGCATGTGCGTGTGTGTGTGTGTGTGTAACTGGAAATCCAGAAGAGAAAGAAGTAGGCTGGGTTTCATTGGAGCTCATCCTGTCTGTCCCTATGAGCTTCTCTACTCTGTGTGGATCTAGTTCACTGGGAGCTGCTGCTCTCAAGCAGGTAGGTCCTGCACAAGGTCTATTGCTCATCATTAACTTTGGTTCATAGATGCTTCTGAGGAGTTATTAAGATACTAAAAGTGACCAAAATATCCTTCTTACCTTTCTCTCCAATTATCCATTGTCCTTTTTGTTTTTTTTCCCTTATCTCTTCATTCTAACTACATTTTGCTCTTGTTTCAGAGAACTTGCATTAAAAAATAATCTTCAAGGCCAAGCACTGGTGGCTCATGCCTGTAATCCTAGCTACTCAGGAGGCTGAGATCTGAGGATTGCGGTTCAAAGCCAGCCTGAGAAAGTCTGTGAGACTCTTATCTCCAATAAACTCAGAAAACCAGAAGTGGTGCTGTGGCTCTAGTGGTAGAGCACTAGCCTTGACCTGAAGAGCTGAGGGACAGCGCCCAGGCCCTGAGTTCAAATCCCACGACTGACAATAATATTACTACTAATAAATAATAATATTCAAGCCAGATACCAGTGGCTCCTACCTGTAATCCTAGCCACTCTGGAGGCTGAGATCTGAGAATGGTGGTTCAAGGCTAGCCTGGGCAAACAAATCTGGAAGACTTATTTCTAGTTAACCAGCAAAAGACTGGAAGTGGAAATGTGGCTCAAGTGGTAGAGTACTAACCTTGAGCAAAAAAGCCAAACCAGAGCACAATTCTATGAGTTTAAGCCCCAGTACTGGATGCACATGCACACAACAAATTTCAGTCCAGATCGCCATTTTCTATATTTGTTATATTTTTTTTAAAGGGTGGGGGGCTGAGAAGGTGGCTCAGTGGTAGAGCGCTTGCCTTGCATGCCTGAGGCCCTGGGTTCGATTCCTCAGCACCACATAAGCAAAAAAGAAAAAAGCCGAAGTGGCGCTGTGGCTCAAGTGGTAGAGTGCTAGCCTTGAGCTGAAGAGCTGAGGGACAGTGCCCAGGCCCAGAGTTCAGGCCCCACGAATTGGGGGGGGGGGAGGATAGGGAGAACTCAAGGGGAGGGGGGCGTTATGATTCAAGTTTAAAGCACAGTAAATGGATCTTCTACCCAGGGGTAAAAGGAGGTTACATCTGTTAGAAAAGATGGCTTGCTATGGAAATAGCTTCTTGTCATACTGCATTAAATTTTGCTATGTTCTACTGCTATTGCTGCCTGAAACTCCTCCTGGCTTGTCTGCCTGGACATATGGTTGTGGCCTTGCAATACCTGGTCCTATTGAAAGACTGGGCTTGTGTTTAGGTGGAAATGCAGCTTTCGGGAAACCTAGGGTTTACATACTTTGGCTTGCTTTATTCAAATACTCTTAGCAACTAAGCAGATTTCTTCTTTATATCATGCGGTAACTAATCTTCAGAACCCTGGCTGCCATACTGTATCAGCCCTGCCCATAGCCCTTACATGCTCACACACTGTATCTGCCTACTTTTCTTGGTGTGAACACTTCATAGCACTGTCTGCCTACTTTTTATGGTGTGAACACATCAGGTGGGGTGTTTGAGACTTCTGTCAGG